AATATCAATGAACAGATAGTTTCCTGACAAGTTCCCCTGCATTAAAAAAAAAAAAGTTTCTTGGAACTCTTTGGAACTTTTTTTGTATACCTCACTTTTGAATGGATTTTGTACTTCAAAAAAGCGTTTACGAAGCATTAAGTTTTTTAATTTTAATGGGATAAATTTTTGAATATTAATAATAGTTTTTAATAGCTTTTATTATAAACAAATGCAAAAAAGAAACATTGTAAACAATATAAGCATTTATATATAGCATTGCTCTGATTGTTATCGATGATAACAATATACGTTAATTCTCCACAACTTCTAAGTCTACACATTGTTAATGTCCATATAAACAGTAAACATTCATGGTTCGCTTTATACTTGAAATTAAGTTGAAACAAGCTTTAAACAATAATTAGAACCAGCTTTGAAGCCTTTTAAGCGAAAAAATAATTTTACCCTATGTCCGGGTTTTGCTATGTTTCGACACACTGTGCGGCATTCGGCGGCTCGCCAGCGGTTCCCCACGATCTCTTGCGCACTATGTTGTCGTAGATGATTCACTTTTCGTCGCCAGTCACTATTCGTTTGAGAAACGGGTCGCTTTCGTGCCGCTTCAGAAGTGAATTGCAGATGGATATATGATTGGCCAGGTTCTCCTCGGTCAGCTTGTGCGGCACCCAAACATCGAGGCGGGACATGTAGCCAAGCTGTTGCAAATGCTTTTGAACGGTTCCATAACCTATTTTAAGTGTCTCCGCAATCTCTCGCACCTTTAGCGTCCGGTCTTGCTCAACTAGTGCCTTGATATCATTCGAATTAACCTCAGTGGGCCGACTGCTGCGGGGTCCATCTTCAAGGCTCGTATCTCCGGAACGAAATTTGGCAAACCATTTCTGAGCGGCGCGTTCTGTTAAGGCATCGTCCCCGTATACGGATACGCCGCATATCTTTCGGTGGGCCTCCGCAGCTCGCTTGCCTTTCTTGAAGTAATAAAGCAAAATATGCCGAAAATGCACCTTATTCTCCGACACGGTGTAAGAATAATAGGTGATTCTACTCATTTGAAATCACTGTGATTTTCCTGAGGACATTCCGCAGTTAACCAGAAGGTGGCGTATATGTACACCTAACCCCACAAAATATTTTAAAAGATATGTGAATAGATCACCTGCTAATAAGATCTTAATAAAAGAAACATATAATAATAAAAGAAACTACCCAAATAGCAAACACACGTCATTTTGACGTCAAATTCTGGTCATGTTGGTACGAATGACGTCAAGTG